TGATGATGATGATGATGATGATGATGATGATGATGATGATGATGATGGAGCGATAATGATGGTAAAGATAATTAAAATGATGGTGATGGTGGTGATGATGAAGGTGGTAATGATGCTGATGCCAATGACGATTATGATAATGATGTTGAAAATGATAATGGCGATGGTGATGATAGTAATAATGAAGTTAGTTTATGATGATAATTATGATGACACTAGTGGTGATGATGGTGGTGAAGAAAATGATGCTACTGAGTATTCACAATGTGTGAACGCTGTCATAATTCTTTATAAGCATCATCTCATCTCACCTTACAAAAACCATAAGAGTTTCGATATGAGGGCTGGCAAGAGGACTCAGAGAGTAAAGATGCTTGCCACCAAGCCTGGCAACCATAGGTTAATCTTCAGGACCCAAATGGTAGGATAAACTCACTCTTACAAGTTGTTTTCTGACCTCCACACAAGGGCCATAGTACACACATGCCCACTGTGCATACAACACACACACACACACACACACACACACACACACACACACACAAATGAATACATAATGTAATTTTTTTTAAAGAGTAACCATATTCAGTATGTATTAGGTTTGGGTTTTTTTTTCTGTCATCCTTTAGTATTCCCTGGAGGTTGTTTCTGGGACCCCCTCAGATACCTAGATCTAAAGATGTTCAAGTTCCCACGTTCCCATGATGGAGCGGAGTGATGTTTGTATGTGACCTGTGCACAACCTTCTGCCTGTGTTATCTCAGGATGACTGACAGCGCCTAACTCCATGCAAATGCTGTGGGGACAGATGTGCGCCTGTTGTCTGGGGTGTGATGACAGGCACAAAGTCTGTATGTGTTCAGGGGAGACGACCTTCTTCTGAACAATTTCTACTTGAATCTGGCTAAAGTCATGGAAGCAGAACCCATGGATGTGGATGGCCCACTGTGTAACCTAGTCACCCTAAATGAGGAAACTGAGGCACAGACCTGTGTTCAGGCACTTGCCTATGGACACAGACAGCATGGGAGTGGACCGGGACTCCGGACAAGCTGACCCTAGCATCCCTGCTACACCCTAGCATGTTCCATGCCTCCTTTGCTGTCTTCCTTGCAGGTAAATTCACCTGCATTGAGGCCCGGTTCCACCTGGAGCGGCAGATGGGCTACTACCTGATCCAGATGTACATCCCCAGCCTGCTCATTGTCATCCTGTCCTGGATCTCCTTCTGGATCAACATGGATGCTGCGCCAGCTCGTGTGGGACTGGGCATCACCACCGTGCTCACCATGACCACCCAGAGCTCTGGCTCCCGAGCCTCCCTACCCAAGGTGAGTGGCACCAGCGGGGAGTGCTGAACCCCAGAATGGAGAAGACTCCATCACCCCTCATCCTTGCCTGAGACATGGGGAGCATACAGAGTGTATCACCATGCACATACATGCTGCGTGTGGCATTGTTTCCAGAAGTTGCTGTCTAGGCAGCAATATCTAGGTTGATGGCATCTTATTCAAAGAAATGGAGGGGAAAAAAAGGAGCATACAGTTTGCAAAGTAGCAAGAAGACTTTGTTCATGTGATGTTTCCATGTTTCCACTCAGGGCCACACATTACCTCTGTTCTAACACAGGGACACTGAAAGAATATCTAACACATACTGCACGGCCTCATCTATATTCTCCAGTTGTTAGTACTTTGCCACATTTGTTTTGTTTATCTAGACAGACATAAATAGATACATAAGTGGACACATAGCATAGATAGAAGATACATGTAGACAAGGTAAATATACTAGATGATACATACATACATACATACATACATACATACATACACGCCTAGCTACCATTAACTGTCAACTTGATACAACCTAGAGCCATCTAGAGCACAGAGCGCAAGCTAGCAAGCAGCATTCTTCCATGGCTTCTGCTTCGAGAACCTGAATCTCTCCCCTGATTTCCCTCAGTGATGAAATGTGACCTGGAGGTGTCCGTCAAATAAATCCTTTTTCTATTTACATTTGGACAGAGCATTTGTCACAAAAACAAAAAAGAAATTAGAACAAATAGACACGTAGTAGTTAGACAGAGAGAAAGACATAGATAGATAGATAGATAGATAGATAGATAGATAGATAGATAGATAGATAGATAGATAGATAGATAGATAGATAGAAGATAGATAGTTGAAAAAGGTTCTGTTTGTTTGTTTGTTTTAGTTTTGTTTTGTTTTCGAGACAGGGTTTCTCTGTGTAACTTTGGCTGTCCTGTGAACTCACTTTGTAGACCAGACTGGCCTCATACTCACAGAAATCTGCCTGCCTCTGCCTCTCCAAGTGCTGGGATTACTGGGATTCTGCACCCAGCAGAAGTTTTAAAAGAACAACTATATATAGATAAATGATAGGTTATTAATATATTTATAGATAATTGATAGATCATTAATAAATAGATGATAGGCTCAGGGCAGGTAGATGATCAAATATTCTGCCTCTTTTTGTCTTTTCTAAGGGTCTGGTCATCATGTGTTGGTGGTTTTGGAGGTTTCCCACGTGTCTCTGTGGCTCTGCTCTTCTTCCTTCATTCTGCCCCTCAGATTCATGATTCTCAAGGCTGCCAATTCTTCTCATTCTTTGATTCTTTCTACTACATCTTTGCCTTCACCTTTGTCAGTGAAATTATCTATTTTCTCAATTATCTATTTTCAAGAGTTTTCATTTGGTTTCCTTATAATTTTCATCTTTGTATTAATGTGTTCTGTTTGGTGAGAGAATACTCTCAAATCTTCCTTTAGTTTCTTTTTATTGTTTTATTTGAGAAAGAGTCCACTCTGTAGCTCAGGCTATTCTTAAATACATGGTGACCCTCCACCCAAAGCCCCCTTAGTTCTGGGACTACAGGTGTGTGCCACCATGCTCAACTTCCTATACACAGTTATAGGAATTATAAGGTATATTATATTTATATAATTTATATTATATTTAAGGTAATTACCTTAACATCTTTGTCTACCCAGCATGGTAGTAAAACACATGCCTTTAGGAGACAGAGACAATAACATCAGCAGTTCAAAGTCATCTTCAACTGTGCATCAAGTTCAAGGCCAGATATGATATTCTATCTTAAAAAAATAAAAGGGGTAGAGGAATGGCTTAAGGATTAAGAACACTCACTGCTCTTTCAGAGGACTTGAGCTCAATTCTCAGCTCCCACAATATAACCTTCTGGCCAACCCCAGGGACCCAGTGTCTCTGGCCTCTTGTGCACATACCCAGACATACACAGATATAACATATACACATAACTAAAAATAAAATAATTAAGTCTCTGTTAAGACTGCTATGGTTTCCTCAGATGCCCCCTCTTTGACCCACCTCTGTCACTGGGTCATGTTGTTATGGTGGGAGAGTTATTTTGGTTTTTTTTTTGGGAGATTTGGGGGAGTTGCACACCTTATAAATTGCACATTTTACATAAAACACAGTGCGATCTTTGGAACCCCGATGCCACCCTCTGAGGACTTGCAGTTGTTGTCAACGTTTGTTCTTAACTTTGTCTACGCTAGTTCCGTGAGCCCTGGCTTCTCCGCTATATCAACCACTGAAGTCTGGGTTCCCCGAGCCTGGTGGCCATGTGAAAACCCAGACAGAGATGTTTATGGGCTGTGAAGATCCTATAAATGTCCCCACCTCCCCTTGAGAGCATCCGTTAGGCTACATGTATCTTCAATATCAGCCAGGCAGTTGACAGCTTGGCTTGAGCTTTTACTTCCTGCTTGTTTTGGGAGGGTTGGAGTTGTCCAGGAGTCCTGGGTTGTTCCTGGGCACTCACAGATTATCCTGCTTGTGGCATCTCCTGATGCAGCTCACCTTCCCGAACTTTTCACTTAACACTGCGAAAGCTTGAACCCAGGCCCTTGAGCTTCCCGGGCAAGTGCTCCACTACTGAGCCGTGTCCCCAGTGCCCTCTTTAGTTTTTTGATTAACCTGATGTTTTGCCTCAGTGCCTCTGATAGCAATCGCCACTCATTGTTTTCGACAAATGTCCCCCAGATTAAAAAGATACAAATGAAAACTGCTCCCACTGGGCCTACTCCAAATCAGGTCAAATAAAGGCAGCCTGCAAGTAGGAGCTCCAAGGGAGCCAGCTAGTAAGGTCAAAGGAGGAGGGCAGGGCCCTGGGAACCAGCTTGAAGCAGCTCTGGCTCCTCTGCCCTCTCCAGTGCCTGCCTGATGGCTGGGTATTTCCATGCTCTTCTGACTGTTGGTTTGCAAGGCTGCTGTGGTCTGGACAGGGTAGGATAGGAACAGAACAAGCCAAGGCACCCAAAGCCCCAGGGGAAGTGAAATGCATGCCCACAGCCACTCTTCCCACTGGTTCTCAGAATTACTCCTCGTTCCACCAAAAGGCAGAAATGATTGACATCTGCCATCCAATAACAGACAGAAAAACAGTGCTGTGTGCCCATGCAATGGAATATTACTAAGCCATAAAGAGAAACTGCTGGGGCCAGAGAGACGGCTCAGTGGTTAAAAGCGCTTGCTTCTCTTGCCAAGGATGGGCATTGGGTTCGCAGCACCCACAAAGGGCAGTGCACAACCGCCTGTAACTCCAGCTCTGGGGGAAACTGACACCCTCTCCCGGTCTCCACAGGCCCTACACACATGTACGTCTTCACACACAATGCACACGCATACACATAAATAAAAACAAAATAACTCTTTAAAACAAAACACAAGTACACCGCTGCTGTGGCAAAGAACGGTAAGACAACCCTCAAAAATACTGTAAGTGGGAGAAGCCAGTCACGGAAGGACACGTGCTGTCTATGATTCCAGAACGGAATTCTGGAATGCTCAGAACAGAGATACCATAGGAACAGAAAGTTTTTTGATCTTCCGGGTTGGGGAAGTAGAGAATCAGTAGACACCATCTTTCAACAGGAGTGGTGCTACCTCATGGCTTTAATCCTAGCATTAGAGAGGCAGATGCAGGGTCTTTGTGAGCTCCAGGATAGCCTTGTCTACATTGCAGATCGCTATTTAAAAAAAAAAAAAAAAATACAAGCTTTTTTTCTCATGGTAACAAAAGTCTCCTAAAATTGTCTATCAGAGGCTAGAGGGGGCTACTTGGTGGTTAAGACTACTGACTGCTCTTGCAAAGGACCTGGGTTCAGTACCCAGCACCCACATAGTAGCTCACGACCAGTTCCAGGGAATCCAGGCACTTACATAACATGCAGGTGAAACACTAACACACATGAAATATACATAAACAAATACTCAAAACTGTGAAGATGGCCAGGCATGGTGGTGCACGCCTTTAATCCCAGCACCCAAGAGGCAGAGGCAGGTGGATCTCTGTGAGTTTGAGGCCAGCCTGGTCTACAGAGCAAGTCCAGGACAGACAAGGCTACGTAGAAAAACTCTGTCTCTGAACATCCTCCCCCACAAAAATAAAAATAAAAATAAAAAGCCTGTGAAGATGATTATCCCATCTGTGGATGTTATAAATGCCTTCAAATTGTACAACTGAAAGTGAACTGTATGCCATTCAAATCTAGGTGACACTGTTTTTAATTGTTGTTGTGGTTTAGTTGGTTGGTTGGTTGGTTGGTTGGTTGGTTGGTTGGTTGGTTGGTTGGTTTGGTTTGGTTTTTTGAGACAGGGTTTTTCTGTGTAGCCCTGGCTATCTATAGGCTAGACTGGCCTCAAACTCACAGAGACCCACCTCCTTCTGCCTCCCAAGTGCTGGGATTAAAGGCGTGTGCCACCACCTCCCGTAGCAAGCTCCCTGCTATGAATTTACTGTTCTCTCCAAAATCCAGCTGCTTCTGTTGTTTGTAGTGGTTGTTGTTACTAGGTTTTTGTTTGTTTGCTGGGGCGAGAGACGGGGCACTTGTCAGCAACAGAAAATATGTGCAGGTCAGAAAATAACTTAGAAGAGTTGTTCTCTTCTTCCACCACACAGGTCCTGGGGTTTGAACTCAAGTCATCACGCTTGGTGACCAGTGCTCTTTCCCACTGAGTCATCTCTCAGCCATCAACTGCTTTTCTTGAATAAATTCCCACAGGATTGCTACGAGCCTTTGGGGGTTAATCAACAGAGGTCTAGATAATGTGACTGTAACAATTTCTGCCAGCACACTCACCGGCTCTGTGCAGGGACAGTTTCCGCCTGTCCCGACAGTGCTGTTTGCTGAGAGCCTTCCTCCACGCTAAGGCTTAGTCCGACATCCTCTCAGACTTGAATAAGATGCTCCATTCCACAAACCGAAGGTCCTCCTGCTGCTTCTCTTGCGAGCACTTCTCCCTGGCATCCTTCCCAACGTTCAATGTGCTTCTTTTGTCCTCCTCTGCTCCATCCATTCAAATATCCCATCCGATGGGAATGCCCCATCCTCATTCAATACAACAGTGTCCACACTCTAGGGACACTCCACTGTACTCTGACTCTGTCAATTGCATAAAATGACAAATGGTACCAAATGTCATTTTCTTTTCCCATTCCTGCCATAACCTTGTGGACAAAAATTTTGTGTTCTGCTGTGGGGGTTGGGCAGATTGCTCGGTGGTTAAGGGTGCTTGCTGGTCTTGCAGAGGACCCATGCTTAGTTCCCAGCACCACTCTGAGCAACTCACAACAGTCTGTAACTCCAGCTCCAGAGGATCGGATGACCTCATCTAACCTCTGCAGATACTACACTCACTTGCAAATATACACAGAGACATATCACTTAAAAATAATCTCTTAAATTTATTCTTGGGCCAGAGAGATGGCTTAGTGGTTAGGAGCACCTGTTGCTTTTCTACAGGACCCAGCACCTATAAGGTAGCTCATAACTGTCTGTAACTCCAGTCCTAAGGGACCTTTGCCATCTTCTGGCCTCTTCAGGAACTGCATCCTTGTGGTGCACAGACATACAACATGGGCAAAACACCCATATATGTAATATAAAAAATAAGATCAAGTTTTTCTTTAAATAAAAATTTGTTGTTGGTGTATAGCTTAACAATGTCAGCAAAGGATTTTTTTTTTTTCCTTCTGGATTAAACTGAGAACTTTGCATTTCTGCGAAGCTTTTTGTAGCTTTTCCTGTCGTATCTAAATTACCAACATGGCCACAATCAGTCTGGTAATGCACAAAGCTGCTAAGTGGTTGCTAGAAGGGCAGTGTGCGCACGGGGTACACACTTGGGAAAGAACGACATGTTATCTGCAGGACGGATGCAAGAGTTCGTCACACTGTTCAAAACAGTGCACGGGTTAAAACTTACAAATGGCTTGTTTCTGGGATCTTCCAGCTCCTCTCACCTCCCCGTGCGTTCTCCCCCCCTCGCTCCAGGTGTCCTACGTGAAAGCTATCGACATTTGGATGGCCGTCTGCCTGCTCTTCGTGTTCTCGGCCCTGCTGGAGTACGCCGCCGTCAACTTTGTGTCTCGCCAACACAAGGAACTGCTTCGATTTAGGAGGAAGCGGCGACATCACAAGGTAGGCCTCTGGGATGCGGCTTAGGGAAGGGCAGCGGGTGGACAGGCAGAAGCGTTCTGAGCAGTCCGGTGAACCCCCCTTCACCGGACTGTCCCCGTGGATAACAGCTGAGGCAGGGACCGAATCCTGAAAAGCTTCACTTTTTACCCCTGTGCATAATGACCTAGCTGGATTACAAGGCGCCTCTGATAAACCACAAGAGCAGTGAGGTAGGAATTGTCACGTGACACCAAGACGCAAAGGCCCGTGGTGATAACCAGTTTCCGTCCACCCGCAGAGCAGCCTGGGGCAGGCCTGCCGCTTGGTTTCTGTAATGTGACTTCCAGCTGGCCTGCCTCTGGGCTCAGTTTCTCCATCATCTACAAAGGAGGCTGGCTTGTAAGCTGGTGAGAGGCTGTGCTGAGGACAAAGTCAGGGGTTCCAAGGAAGCTTTGCGTTTCGTCCCTGCCACACCAGCGTCAAGGCTGAAAACTATTTTACACACACACAGCCCCTGTTAGTATGTTAATTAAACATGATTCGATTAGCTCTTGGCAGTCTAGCACTTGCCAGTCTTCTGAGACAGAAGATGCCCTTGGGGGTGGGGTGGGGGAGTCCAGAGAGCAGGGTCCTCTCTGTCTGAAGGCACCAAACCTCTCCGTTGAAGTAGTAATCATCTGTAGGCATTGTAGGGCACACTTGCAATCCCAGCACTCAGGGGTGGTGAGCAGAGGCAGGAAGATTGGGGGTTCAAGGCCAGCCTGGGCTACAGCATGAGACCCTGTCTCAAAAAACAAAACAAAAAACAAACAAACAAAAAAAAAGCAAACAAACAAAATAGGACTGGGGAAGTAGCTCTGTTGGTAGACTGTTCTCCCAGCATTCATGACGCTCCCCACACACCAGTCCCCTGCCTCACACTGCATAAATCCAGACCTGAGCGCATATCCATAATCCCAGCACTTGGAGATAGAGGTTGGAGAATCAGAAGTTCAAAGCCATCCTCTGCTATACGAAGTTCAAGGGAGGCTTGAGCTACCTTAAAACCTTTTCTTAAAAAAAAAAAAAAAATCTAGAATATCTAGATTAAAATGAGGTGCAGTGGTCTCCATTGTAATCCCAGCCCTCTGAAAGGTGATGGAGGGGGGGTCAAAAGAAGTTCAAGGTTAAAAGCTGGGAAAGGTTAATGGAAGAAGGGAAAGGCCCTCTTAGGCAGCTCTGGAGAAGCCATCGTCCAGGCTGGGTGAAGACTTGCCGGTAGGCTGCTTTGGAGTCCCCATGCTCCTCTGAGTGACCCAGCTCTGTAAGTAAGTAAGCTCAATAAAATCATTGTTTCAGGGGAGATATCAAGGCTAGCCTTGGCTATAGAAAAAGAAAGGGAGGGAGGGACAGATAGACAAAGAGAGAGAGAGAGAGAGAGAGAGAGAGAGGGGCAAGAAAGAGTGAGGGAGAGGCAGGCCGGAGGGGCTGGCTCAGTGGTTAACAGCACAGGCTGCTCTTGCAGAGGACAGGGTTGGATTCTAAGGATTCAGATGTCAGCTCACAACCACTGGTAACTCCAGTCGGAGAGCTGATGCCTTCTTCTGATCTCAGGGGACAATAGATACATACATACATGCAGGCATTCAGAACACACGTAAAAGAAACATGCTTTAAGAAAGAAAAGTACACAGAAAGCCACCTTGAGCCATAAACTTCTGGCTTCACCTGAAACGCTTGCTGCCCCCAGACAGTCTGCACAATGGAGCTGCCCTTGGGCAGAGCACTCACTCTCCAGCTCCCCACGGTCCCAGCTCACTTCATCACCCTCCCGGACACAGCTGAATTAACGTGACCTCCTTCACAAGGGCTCTACACTTGGCCCAAGTTTCAGAAACCAACGGTGATAACCCGGGCCCACACTATGGACGACCTCCCCTTTGCATATGGCTTGCACTGGAGACCCGCACATCGGAGCTGCGGAAGCCTCTCTTGAGTAAGATGTCTAAGCAGGCTTTGGGTGGAACTCCTGGTGGTGAGTGGCGAGGATCTAGCTCTGGCCTGGATTTCTCTCGGCCAATAATCTGTGCCAGGCTTCCCAGCAGCCCCCATTGTTTTTCCATGCTTTCAAATGTTGCCTCGTTTGCTGGGTAGAAAGCATCCAGCCTTCCAAGTCTCTGGCCCGCCTTATTAGAAGGATCATTAGGAAGCCTCTGTGGGGCACCGGCTCAGCAGGAGCCCCAGATCCCTCGGGTGAGTTGCGCAGTCTCTGTTCCCATTTCCTGCTCCTTCCCCAAGCATCTCCAGCAGATGAGCGTGCACCTCCTGGCACCTGCTGGTCGGAATAGGAATAGCAAGCCTTTCCCAGTCATTCCTTCCTCCACGATACAAAGGGCCACTGTCTAGCTAGATGGACCCAAACCTTCTTCCCTGCCAGTGTGAAACAGACAAGGAAGGTAGAGCATAACTCTCCAAAAATGTCCAGGTAAGCTGATGTGGTCTTTCCCATACCAACAAGAGCCCGTTATATAGAGTGGGGATTAGTGTTGTGTGTAGACAAACTCCTGTTGGTCTCTGGATGGTTTATTATGTACATGAGACACTGCTCATTTACTGAAGCATTCCGAGTTTCTCCTTCCGTTTGCTTTTTGAGACAGCCTCTTGTAGCCCAGGCTGGCCTTGAGCACTGTGTGTTTGTGTTTGTGCACGTGCTCTCACGAGCGCACATGCATGCCTACATGTACAGAAATACGGAGATCAGAGGACAACTTGCAAGAATCTGTTCTCCTTCTGTTATTTGAGTCCAGAGGATCAAACTCAGGTGTTCAGGCTTAGGAGAAAGCACCTTTATCCAGTGAGCCATCTCATCAGCCTAGACCTGCTTTATTCTTTCCTAAAGTTTATTTTATTTTATACCTATGAGTATTTTGTCTGTATGTATGTGTGTTCCTGGTGGCAGAGGACAAGACCAAAATGGAGCACCGAATCTCTAGAACTGGAGTTAGGGACAGTTGTGAGCCAGTGTGAGGGTACAGGGAACTGAGCCCAGGTCCTCTGCAAGAGCAGCCAGTGCATTTAACTACCAAGCCGTCTCTCCAGCCTGCCTTCCTCTTAGAGCATTGAGCGTTGCTCTCAGTTTCACATGCCTTAGTTCTGACTTAGAGCTGCAGATGTTTAGAGACCGTTTATATGTCTGTGTCATGCATTACAACGCTGTCGGCACTGGTATTGTGTTGTGTTGTGTTGTGTGGTGATGAAGGCCATACAAAAAGGAAAACAACCGCTTCTGTTCTCTACCTCAGTGCTTGTTTCATTTGGGGTCTTGTGAGTCGGGGTGTTGCTGGGCTTGGGGGATAGGTCCTCATACACTTCAAGCTGGCCTCCATCAGTGTAGCTAATGTCTAGAACTATTGAGCCTCTTGCTTCTGCTTCTGAACACTGGGATGACAGGCTGTGCCACGGCTGCTCTCACAAAGCTTACTCTCTAACACAGTGGTTCTCAGCTTTCCTAATGCTGTGACCCTTTAGTGCAGTTCCTCATGTTGTGGTGACCTCCAACTATAAAATTATTTTTTGTTCCTACTTTGTAACTGTAATTTTGCTACTGTTATGAACCATGTTGTAAAGATTTGTGTTTTCCAATGGTCTTAGACGATCCCTGTGAAAGGGTCATTTGACACCACCAACCCCCGGGGGTCGTGACCCACAGGTTCAGCGCTTCTGCTCTAATAGGAGAGGGGAGGTCAGCAAAGGAATTAGACCCCAGTGAGATCGGAGCTTTCCTCCAGGGGCACTCATAGGGAACACTGCCTGTCTTTGGAAGCTCAGGGAGGTCAGGTAAGCGGAAGGCTGAAGCTCAGGTTTAGAAGCAAAGGCATAGGCGAGAGAAAAACTTTGAATAGAACCAAAAAGGAAAAGCTCGACATCCTCAAACATAAGAAAGTGTTTCAGGGTGACTAAAGAATAATACCACACAGAGAATGGAATGAAGAGAGATGGAACAGGTGGATACACTCCAGGGAATCTGAGGCCTTCTTTAGCATTGGGAAAAAAATTAATTATCCTGAGCTCAGTGGCAGCCTATCAGAAAGTTCCGAGTAGAGCCAGGCATGGTAGCACACATCTGTAATCCCAGCATTTGGGATTTGAGGCAGGAAGACTGAGAGTCCAGGTTATCCAGATGGTGGCAGAGGCATGGAAAGATTAGTGTCAGATCCTGTACTGCATTTCTTATTCTCGTTGGGACTGTCTTTCGGGGAACAGTCAAGAAAGAATTCCTCTCCTGGAAGCCCTCAGTGTTCAGGAGGGCAAGGTTAGCTGGTCATCCTTGCCAACGCCACACACTGTTAGCTCAACTGCAGCTGGCCTTGGCCTGGGGAGGCGGCTCAGCTGCTAATGTGCTTGTGGTTTAAGGGTTAGGACCAGAATCCTATCAACCTGCTTTGTGATAGCAGATTTCATAATCTTTCTGTGATCCCAGCTCAAGGCGGAATACCTCGAGCAAGCTGGCCAGTCAGGCTAGCTGAACTGGTGAGCTCTGGGTTCAATTGGGAAACCTTGTCTCAAGAAATAAAGACAAGGAACTAGGGGCTGGAGAGATGGCTCAGAGGTTAAGAGTTAAGAGCACTGGTTGTTCTTCCAATAGGTCCTGAGTTCAATTCCCAGCAACCGCATGGTGGCTCACAACCATCTATAATGAGATCTGGTGCCCTTTTCTGGTGTGCAAGCATACATGCAGGCAGAATACTGTATACATAGTAAATAAATAAATCTTTAAAAAAAAAAAAAAGACAAAGAACTAGGAAGATACTTGGCATCAACCTCTGACCTGCATATTTGCTCACATGTGAGCACACATACATGCCACACACATACACACACCCTGGTCTTTCAGTCCCATTGTGGAATCACAGGTGAAGGGGACTGACCAGGGCAAGACAGGGCTGACAGGGAAAGGGTTAAACCACTAGGCTTGGGCCTCAAGCATTTTACAAAGGTGAAGTCTGAAAAATCTGGCAGGCAGGGATGTAGATCACATGGGATGTGGGCTGGGGCTGGAAAGGTAAGTTGGAGCCAAATGACAAAGAGCCTTTGACAAGCTTACGGGAATCAGAAGACTGTTGGAAGTGATGGTGTGGGAACAAGAGGCAGGAAGAAGCCATGGCTTCCCTGGCTTGTACCACAGGAAAGCCAGGAGCTCTCTGCTCCTTCCCAGGCCATCAGGGGGTGGGGAAGATGGGAAGGATGCAACAGAGGCAAAGCAGGGGATGTCTCCAAACCATCCTCTGAAACTCTAATCAAAACCCAGGCCAGCCTTGGGTCACCTACTTAATGGAACCTCTAAAGGTCAAAAAGCCTTGAGAAGAAACCTTGAACTAATTCTCAGGCAAGAGGAAGGAAGTTACCTGTCAGAGGTCACATGGTCAGTAAATGACAAAGACCCACACAACCTGGCACAGAGCTCCGGCCTCAGACTCTGTGACTAGTCCCATCCCCTGGCTTGCTTCTGTTTCAGTATGTGAGTGGCGCCCCTCTATAAGGCCGAACTCCCCAGCCAGCCAGACTGCCTCCAGAAACTGGGGACACAAAGCCTGAGAGACAGGGAGAATCAGATGGCATGGCCTGGCCCCCCAGGGGAGTGCCTTGCAGGGAGGGTGCCCAGCCCTTGTCTTATTTTAAGTAGAGCCCCATGCTGAATCTGTTTCAGGATGATGAGGGTGGAGAAGGCCGTTTCAACTTCTCTGCCTATGGGATGGGCCCAGCCTGTCTGCAGGCCAAGGATGGCATCTCTGTCAAGGGCGCCAACAATAACAACACCACCAACCCCCCTCCTGCACCATCCAAGTCCCCAGAGGAGATGCGGAAACTCTTCATCCAGAGAGCCAAGAAGATCGACAAGATATCACGCATTGGTTTCCCCATGGCCTTCCTCATCTTCAACATGTTCTACTGGATCATCTACAAGATTGTCCGAAGAGAGGACGTCCACAACAAGTGAAGGCTCTGGGGTGGGGTGGGGGGCTTGGGAGAGGGTGGTGGGAGGAGCACAGAGGCTGGGAACCAGGGGAGGAGGGAGAAGGAGAACTCACACCCATTTCCCTCCATCAAGTGCAATAGAAACCGCAGGGGTGGCTGCTTCCAGGGTATGGCAATATCCACCTAGCCTCTGAGGGCATGAGGTGGGAGGGCCTTTTCAAATACAGCAACTGAGGACCATGAGGGGGTAGGGTGGGGGTTGGGGAGGGGGTTGGGAAATCACAGCTTTCAAAATTCAAGTCCATTGGGTTGAACGGGAAGTTTCCTGTTTGGAGGTCAGTGCTGCCTGCCCCAGAGCAGGAAAGCAGTGTAATATATGACATATAACCATGCTTAACATTAATGCAAAACCTACAAGAGCAAACGATATATCCCTTAAATCAGCCTAGTAACTGCTTAAACTTTTAAAGTCCCCAAAGTGATGGACAAATTTTCCCAGAGTAGAAATGGTCACAAATCAGCTTGCTGTGGTACGCGGCCCCATCGCGCCCTTATAAATGCCATGTCTATCTTCAAACTGACCCCTATGGACACATGCCAAAAAAAGCCATTCCGCCTCTGCTTTGAGAGGGTCACGTGACACGGGCATGGGTTGTGGAGATAGATAAAGGTGGACCACCAGCAGAAAGTGACCACAGAGGAGGACCATTGCAGAAGCCCGAGGATGGAGAATCCAGGAAATCCCACTGGGCACCAAGCTTGCTCCTCTCGCTTCTCTGCTTTAAAGCTGGCCCAACTCAATGCCAGCCCAATGGCCGCCATGGTCTTCTCATTGTATTACCAATATGCAATCTTTTTTATTGTTTAAAAAAAAAAAAGTAATAATCTCGAGAAATAATATGGGGAGAGACTGAGTGTAAACCCAGGAACTTTTTTCCAAATGTCTATTTTTTTTTAACTGCAAGTAGGTGCATTATGGGGAAGGTGAGCAGGGATGAAACAGGTCCCAATTGCCAGGCAGGGGTGAAGTTAAAAGAGATGAGAGGGTGAAAACGATGGCGCCAATGCTGCTGCACATCCTGTTTGCAGGAAAGAAGAGATGGTGATATTTAGAAAGTCCACTCATTATATTTTGACATTTCATATATTATAACATGGGAAGTTTGGGGGACTGACCCCATTATATTTTTATAAGTCTTTTTTTTTTTTTAAGATGCTTTGCACAGCTTTAACATGTGGGAAAGTTAGACAAAAATACTTCTCTTTCCTTCTAACTCTGAAGTGCCCAAAGGATCCCAGACTAGCCAGGGCACTCCAGGAAAAAGCGACAGGGACCGAGATGAGCTCAGTTGGAAGAGCTCCATTCGAATGACAGATCTGGATGTGCGCAGACCCACCCTGACGTGGCACAACGCCTGGAGTGAGGCACTGCTCTTGCAGTCCTGCATGCCATGGCTAGTACCTAGGAGTGGCATTTCTGTCCTAGCACTTTACTGTCTCAGCCTTGGGTCAGAGTTATAGACAGAATGGGATTGACCGCTGACAATCAATCTGGAGTTTGGTTTGTATCCTTCGAGCTAGAGAGCTCAGGGAGGGGATGGAGGAGCAGAATGAAGAGATGATGCTCACCTGCCCCTTGCCATGCACTCTGCCTGGGGAGTTTTCCTTCCTTCCCTGTAGCGTCAAGGCTAAGGCCTACATGGGTCTACAACAGAGCAAGCCAAGACAAAGACCAAGGGATCTGAGTAAAGAAAATGCACTATGCAGCCAACAGGATGAGAATGAGCTGTCGCCATTCTACCAGGTCTGAGGTCAATTGGCCTGTGCCTCTCGGATTATTCAAACCAAAAAGGCAATACACGTTTTGGCTCTGGATGAGGGGGCTCAGGACCTTTGATGATGGGAAATTTTGAGCAGTGGGAGTGGGTGACTCTCATCTGAGGTGGTCTTTCCGTGCCATAAACACGTTCAAAGCACGAAAAGTGAAGATGGCCTTGAATAATCAGAGCTCAGGATGAAGATGCCGGTGTATGCGGCTGTGAGCATGCTCCTCAGGACAAGAGAAGGGATCTCCTCACTGCAGCTCTGTGCATCTTAGAAGAGGCCATGATTATTTCCAGTGGCACTTTATTCTCTGTATTTAGGTGATAAATATTTGTAATAGAAAATAATCAAAGGAACACTCTCCTTACCATATTTAGAACAACTCAAGTCTAGGTGAGTGGGCAAACCCAGGAGGCACCAAGAGGCCCCAGGAGGCATCAGATTCAGTGCTGAGTCATGTCTCTCAGTCACACAAAACCATCCAGCAACTTTGAAAAAGGCTTCCTTAGAAAGCATCTGGAATCACCCTGAGATAGACCAATGAAGCATTCGCCCAATCTCAGCTGGGCTCCCAGCACACACACACACCTGTGTCACCATGTTGGAATGGACCATTATGATCTTCCTGGCCTAGGTGACAAATCCAACAAGCAAGAGACTCACATCTTTGAGATGTACTGAGGAATGTTACTGAAGTCCTTCAGATTATAAGCAATGAGAATACCTGAATCAAGCCTGAACACAGAATGGTATTGGGTAAATATTCAAGCTTTGGTCTCTCTGAATGCACCATGGGGAGAGTGGGATATAGTATCTGAATTCTCTCTGGTTCTGCCTGCTATGGAATCTGTGCTTACACTGAGAAACTTTGCACAACTAAAAGCTGATCATCGTTTTGATTTCTCGGAGCTCCGTGCAAGCCTGTAGATTTATGCACAGGTGTCCTGACCCTCACAATTCCTGTTGCTTCTCTTCCTCAGAAAATTTGCTAATTTGCTTTTCTTCTTTTAATTAAAACCAAAATGAGGGGAAGAAAGAGATAGGACAAGGAAGGGGGAGGGAGGGAATGAGGAAGGGAGGTGGGAAGAAGGAAGGAAGGAAGGAAGGAAAGAAGGAAGGAAGGAAGGAAGGAAGGAAGGAAGGAAGGAAGGAAGGAATTTGAACTAGATAATTTAGGCCAAAGAGTTTAGGTGAACACAATGAACAGTGCAAGGCTTTCTTAATTTCCCCCCTTTAGGTTGAACACAAAGGAATCTATGCCCTGAAATCACAGATGTAAGATGCATGGTTCAGTGTGTGGAAATAAGATGTCTGTGCGGAGAATAGTTTACTGGTTTTCACCAGTACAGAGTGGTGTTCATGCATAGTGTGACATTTGGAAAGGGGCACAGAGGAGTGGATGACGTCAGCTCACTTCCAAAGCTGCAACTTATCCCAGGAGCCAAGTGGGGACACCAACTGCTTCTCATCCTGTTGGTTTGCAGGATCCCACTGATGTCAGAAAGAAATGCTCCATTCTGCCCTCTGCTGGAATTTTCTAGCACCTGTAAAACCCTTCTTGGCTCTAGTGGAGAATGTGTGAGTGTGTGAAAGAGAGAGAGAGAGAGAGAGAGACATTTCCAATAACCTTGGAGAGAAAAGTTGATCATTTCACCCCAATTACTTCCTTTCCTAAACTATCAATAAGTAGGAAAGTAACCCCTTTCAGAAGTGTGCCAAGAGGGCTGGTTCATTTCCGCCAGCATATACATCTTTAAGAGCATCATAAAAAGACATGGTGTCTTGAGAGGTGCCATGTTAGATAGCAGGGAAGGCAGGCACCCCAGTCAAGATGGTACTGCCACTGATAATTGTCTTCTGTGCAAATTACATTACTTACTTAATTGCCGCATGCTGAAACCGAAGGGGGTTTATCACCGCCCCGACAGCAGCTGCATCCTCTGAAGAGGCTGACAAGTAGGGTGTATCCTCTTCAGGGCTCTAAGAGCCACAGCCGTTTCCCAAACAATCTGGAAGCCCAACACAGAACAATGAACATCACACTGGAAGCTAGCTATCCATATCTGTTTCAGGAACATCTTCCGCACTTTCTAGCCACCCTTAGCTCTGCCCAGGCAGGTGAGGCTGGGCTTTTTCAGGCTGCTTCTTGGATTGATAAGTGTCCAACAAGTCTGTGGATGGGTGACTTGATTTCTACCCATTGAAGCAACCACACCAAAATGTCTCCACCCAAGCCGTCAGGAAGCACATTCTTTAAATAGAATGTGGATTCTGTTTTCCTACTTCAGAAGTTTGAAGCAAAAGCCTTCTTATTTTCCTCCAGTTCTATGACATCAGTAAGGAGAGTCTATAACAAGAGAGGAATAAATGTGCCTTGCTTTGATGGCTCAACCGGGAGAGTTCTGTCTGTGCAAGGGTTTGGTCTGTCCTGGCAAGGGTTTGGTCTGCTGTGCTTGACCTCCCAGTGACACAGAAGACATCCTCGAGTAGGTCAAAATCCCCAGAGAAGAGCACTTGCATGGTTGGTGAAAAGGAGAGACAGACAAGGGAATGACTGACTGACAACAGGGTAGGTTTTTATTAAGAAGAAAAGCCTGTGAATGAGGGATCTAATGGAAGAGGCTGGGGTGCTTGCAGGGCAGAAAAATGGAAGGGCCCCCACCCTTCACCCTATGGGAGCTCTCTAAACCCATGGTTTTCCTAAGCAGTGGAACACCGAAGCCTAGAGTTCCTTTAACACCCACTGAAGATGAAGAGCCCCAAGCATATGATGAAGAGAGCAAAAGATAACTAGCCCCCGGCCATGCCTCACGAGAGAGCATCCAAGCCTGATCCCACAGAGGATGGGGAACTGAGTTTTTACACTGGCTGGTGTCCATTTACTTCTTCCATCTATGTGGGATTTTTAAAAATGATTTATTCATTTATGCTTCATGTGCATTGGTATTTTACCTACATGTATGCCTGTGTCAGGGGGTTGAAGCCTCTAGAACTGGAGTTACGGTTGTGAGCTCCACGTGGGTGCTGAGAACTGAACCCGGGTCCTCTGGAAGAGCAGCCAGTGGTCTTAACCACTGAGCTATCTCTCTAGCCCCCATGTATGTGTCTTTTAACCTTCAACAAGTTATTTCACCTTCCATGATCTTAGAGGAACACTAACTTCCCAAATTGTTGATGAGCATAAAATTGACAAAATAA